GGGATTCTTGGAACTTCTTGTGTGGTGAGGGATTATTGTGGTGAAAGATCTAGGTGCCTCCTATATCCCTATTTATATATTTAAGACTCCTAATTAGGGCCTGAATGGTATGGGTTTACTAATTCTATTCCTTATAGGACTAAGGACTTGTTTTAGGGATAAGGGTCCATGGTCCATAGTGGACCATATTAATTAATTAAAGAGAATCTTAATCATAATCTGAATAGTAAAAGGTTTACTTTCTTTATTCCTAGTAGGCTTAAGACTCTAATTTTGGCAAGGGTCCACGGTTCATGGTGGGCCTTTATTAATTAATTAAAGGGAAACCTAACCGAATTAAATCATATTTAATTATTATTAACGGGATTAATTAAATAATTAATCCGGGATTGAAGGCCGTAACACGGGATGTTACAGTTGGCTTGAGCTTGAGCTCGTTAAGGAAGGCTCGGCTCGAGTTCGAGCTCAACAATTGATGCTCGAGCTCGAGCTCGGCAATTTTCGAGCAGCTCGAGCTTGACTCGAGCAGCTCGATTGTTCGAGCTCGATCTTGAGCTTGAGTTCTAGCTCGATTTTGGGTTCGAGTTCGGGCTTGATTTTGACCTCAAATTTGACCTGTTTGATTTTAAATTCATGTTCTAATTAAAAATAAACTACTTTGTTTTATCCATACATAATTGGTAGCTGTCGGCTAAGTAAATTGACAGAGACCGGAGACTACTCGACTGTCTTCGTGTCTCGTCTTCTGTCGGCTGAGTGCCTGAGCTAGGGCGTGGGGAATGGGGAGTTGGGGAAGCGATAGAAGATTAGAAGGGTAGAAATTTAATTATTATTATTATTAAATTTAGGCAACTTATGCTGTGCATCCGTATGCACCATGGTGCATACGGATGCAAAAACGACGTCGTTTTGCATCAAAATGTGTGTCCTACTTAAAAAAAATCAGTTTCGATTCCCAGCAACAACATTATGTTGTTCATTTTTTAGTTCATTCATTCTGAATTTTTAGTTATGAAATTATGGATGTGTAGGCATGCAATTCTGGATTTATAGTTATGAAATTATGGATGTGTAATTATGCATGGTGTAGTTATGCAATTCTGGATTTTATAGTTATGAAGTTATAGATGCATAGTTATGCAATTCTGGTTGTATAGTTATGCAATTCTGGATGTATAGTTATGAAGTTATGGATGTGTAGTTATGCAATTCTGGATTTATAATTATTGAAATTATGGATGTGTAGTTATGTAATTATGGATGTATAGTTATGAAATTATGGATGTGTAGTTATGCAATTCTGAATTTTTATATTTTTTTTAAAAAGTTAAACGTCAAAACGACGTCGTTTTTGAATCCGTATGCACCATGTACAGTGCATACGAATGCACAGCATAACGATTGCTCAATTGAGTTGTCCAGTATGTTAATATTTTATGTCCTGTACGTTAATATTTTATTTGAGTTTTTGTTGACTGGATTGCCAAATGTTTATTTTATTTACGTTTTTTTTTATTATAATCCACTACATATTAATATATTTTACTGTAATTATAATCAAAATAGTTTTGTATTGTCTAGATCTAATTTATTTATTTATTTATTATTTTTTAAACAGAAGATCCAGTAAAAAAATAATAAATAAATAAATAAATCAAATCTCGACAAGACAAGTGGATAATATTAATATTAATAATAAGAAGAAGAAACGTAAATACAATAAACATTTTGACAATCCAGTTAGCAAAACCTGGAGTTAACCTGATAAAAGTGTTAATTGTTCTTTTTTTTTTTTTCGGGTTCAATGATTTATTTGCTTTTTTAATTTTTTCCAAGTTCAATGACTTATTTGAGTGTTATTTGAGTTCGATTACTTAATTGATATTTTCCAGATAGTTCAGTGATTTATTTGTACTTTAAAAGCAATAATAATACATAGAGAAGAGAAATAATAATACAGAGAGGATACGGAAGAAAATCCCAATTCTGTTAACTAGTTCTTTATAGATAATGATGAGGTACAAAAACTCCAAGAAAAACAAAATAGACATTAGTACATTACTTCTGCTAACCAAATTCCTTATGTATCCCTCTCTTGCATTTATAAAATCGGAGCAGTACATAAAAGACAAATTGAATGACATTCTAAGGGCCAAAGGCTCCTCCATCCAAAAAGACGGGGAAAAAAGTCTAATAACCCAGATTTACGGCAAATTATGCCGTGGAACCGTGCCCACCTTGTAAGGTTTGCACAGTTTCACAACAGCGTTGTTTTCGTTGAAAATAATGTCGTTTTAATTTTTTAAAAAAATTGTTTTTCATTTGTCGTTAACAGCGTTTCTCTTTTCGCAATCGCACAGTTTAAAAATTATGAATTTAATGTATTTAAATTATAAATCTACAGTATAAAAATTATGAATCTACAGTATTAGGTTTGTGAACATGTGATAGACCTATACGTTCATAATTTTATAAATATATGTTCATAATTATAGAGCTATATGTTCATAATTTTCGATGTGTTCATATTCCCAATTGTTGAACTCTGTATTCACAAATCACAGAACTATAAGTTCATAATTTGATAACTATACGTTTTAGAAATTATGAATCTATAGTACAGATATTACGAATCTGCAGTATAGAAATAATGAATCTACTGTATAGAAATTATGAATCTATGGTATAGAAATTATGAATCTACAATTTAGAAATTATGAATCTACAGTATAGAAATTATGAATCTACAGTATAAAAATTATGGAGGATAACGGTGCCACTAACGTCACCGTTACTCAACCACATGAAAACGACGTTGTTTAGAACCGTGCCCACCTTGCAAGGTGGGCACGGTTCCACAACATAACGATTGAAGATTTACCGTAATAATTCCTACGCGATTCACGTTAGATATAGTTGTACCTGGAAGTTATATCTTTTTAATCAAATTTATAATACGAAGTCTTCTTAATATAATTTATCTACAAATCTACAATGCATACATACAAATTTAATAAGAACCAATAAAGTTAGGTCCTTAACTGGAATAAAAAATGTCGGTATAATTGTTTCTTAAAATGAATGGTTCATATTATTTTGATTTTAGTATTTTTTAATAATTTTCCTTATTTACCCTCTATTATATTATTTTTCCCTTAAATAACTCTAAGTTCCGTTAGTATAAACTTTAGTAACGAAATATTCCGTTAACTATTTATTATTCTTAACTTGCTCATTAATTTCTATAAAAAGGTTTTAGGTTCTAACCTCATCCCAATTAGAGTTGGAATAATTGTTAAACATATACTACGAATATGTTAAAACGTATTATATATATATATATATATATATATATATATATATATATATATATATATATATATATATATATATATATATATATAATTTAACATAAACTTTGGTCAAATAATTAAGCCGACTAAATACATAGCATTCAAAGTTGAGCATCAAAGATTATAATTCATTAACTTTAAAACTCATTTGATTTTTTTTTTTTTTTTTTTTTTTTTTTTTGCCGTTTAGTTAAATCTTCTTTTGGTTATTTAGAAAAAAACTTAATATTTCAGTTATCCTTTTGCATTATTGGAATTATTTAGGTCATTATGATATTAATATTTTTTTTGTATGTATTTTTATAATGGTACAATTGTACATTATTTTACAAATATTATACTATTATTTTTTTATCGGACAAAATTGTTCTTACATTATTGTGAGACATGTGCGACCTAACTACAAAGTTATTGATCATAAATGCCATTACACATTGACTCTAAAACGGTACAACCATTTTCCAAAGAATTGACAATGTTGACATTCCATTGGCTCCGGCCAATTGAATAAGTTTACATATCAGAAACATGAAACATGTAGGGGAAAAACTACCATTACCAAATATCAATATGTGCTTGTAAAATAAAGAGTTTATAGTATCCAATAAAAAATAAAATAAAAAAGAGGACATGTATTGAAGATGAAGACAATGACAATGCTACCCAAAAGAGAATTAAGAAGAATTAAAAAAAATTTAAACCAAAAGTAATATTTATTAGACTATCGCTTTTAAACTAAGTATTTAAACTAGCGTTATTACAAAGTTGTAAATATTTATTTTAGTGACATTTATAATCAATTTCTCATATATTATCTTGCATTTATATACTTTAAATTACCGATTTAAATAAACAAATTCAACATTGATTTACCTATACATGAACATCTCATATATAATATTGTATTTATATACTTTGAAATACTTATTTATAAATAATTATTGGGCATTATCTCATTCGCGCAAAGCGCCTAAAAAAACTAGTCTTTTCTATAAAAAGCGAAATTCATTTGCCGCCAAAGCTCCACCACTCGGACGCAAAAGAATGGTGGACAATCATTATACCATGTACTATTGTCCACCTTACAAGGTTGACCATTGATATATAAGGTTTATTTTTATTTTTAAATATACTTTTTTTGGGAGAAAAAAATACTAAAAATTCATTTTTAATACATGGAATTTTATTTTTTAAATATTCATTATTTTTTAAATATTTATTATTAGATGTATTATTTAAAAATAAATTTTTAGTATATTAAAAATGAATATTTTTCTGTGATTCACATTGCAATATGAACCATTATCTATTTGTTGATGGTGAAAGAGTAGTAAATCACGAGTTACTTAACAGTCTTTTAATGGAACAATAACTAATGATTTGGATATAATTCCACATTGTTACTGTGTGCTTGATTCTCTGTCCTTGTATATAATATTATAATTTATCATTCAGAAATCAACTAAGTTACTCGTGCTCCAGCTGAGTTAATGTGATTTATCTAATGTGAAGTTTGCAGGGTTTGTTAAATTTCTCAATCGTTATGGATTTCCTCATTAAAAGAAAAGCCTGTATGTTGTTGCTTACAAGTTAGAAACTAGTAGTGGATGAGATGATAATCAATACCATAAAGACAGTTTGGGAGCTTTCTCTTTCAATGGCGGAAACTACGAGAAGACCAAGGATCACAATCAAAATAGTTACGTGCTTTGAAACCAGATGGCTCCAATACTCCATTACAGTCCCCACATCTACCATGCCCCCAGTTCCTTCTCCTAGTAGATTGCCCACCTTGTGTTTGTATAAACTACCCATAAAGGACTCCACTTTTCAGCCATTCTCTTTGCTGCTCTTACTGTGAGTTTCATTTTGTTTTGCAATGGCTGTAGCAATTTTTTCTTGTGGGTGCATTTCTGGGATTTTCTCCAATTCTAAGTTGATTGGGAGGCAACCCAATTTCAGTCATGGTATTCTCAGAGGTCCTTCCTCACTAGGTCCACTTCAAACAACATATAGTGTTTCAAAGAGGTAAAATTCACATCCCTGGTTATGCAACTAGTTTTTTTTTTTTTTTTTTTTTTTTTTTTTTTTTTTTTTTTTTTTTTTTTTTTCCTTCATAGTTGAAATCTTTGAGCAATTTTTATGATTAGTTGCAGATTTACATTGTAGATGTCTTGAGGTCATTGTCTTATCTGTCTTTGAAATCAAATTCTGGAGACATTTTATTTTAATTTTGCATTTATTTTTTATCATTCTTTTTTGTTGTACTGTTTGAGATCTCTCTACATATTATCCTTATGGTAGGTTGGCATTGTGTTCAAGTTCAATCATTCCAAAAGCATCATCAGCCACTGTTGAGGTTCTTGGACTCTGCCTTTTTTTTTTTTTTTTTGAAGTACTACTGATTCTGTAATAATGTAATATCTGTCTCCAACTGAGTTCAAACCTGTTACCTCCCATTTAGGAGAGCCACAGTCATACCGCTCGACCCTTTGACACTTTTCCTTATTTGATATGATTAAATATGATTATTTATTTGACTGGAGAACAGAATGAAAGCTCACAAGGGGCTGCTGAACTTCCAATACCTAAAGTCATAATAGATTTGGATTCCGATCCTGATGCAACGGTAGTAGAGATCACATTTGGGGATCGTCTTGGGACACTTCTAGATACAGTATAACCATAACTTCTTGATTCAAATTCCCAGTATTATTGCAGATGTTGCTGGTTTTGCATTAATTAAAGGGAAAATTACATTTTTGGTCCCCCAGTTATATTCGTGGTACAGACTTAGTCCCTGAGCTATATGTGTGACCATCTTTAATCCCTAAGTTATGCATGGGGTGGCGATTTTAGTCCTTGAAGGACCAAATCAGCCACTTTATTAAGTGACAAATTGGTGGTAGAAATAATCTCCGAAGGACTAAAATCGCCACTTCGTGCATAACTTAAGGGTTAAAGATGGTCTTGCATATAACTCAAGGACTAAGTTTGTACTACTAGTATAATTGAAAGGACCAAAAATGAAATTTTTCCTTAATTAAATTTTAGAAACCATAGATGCTTTTTACATAGGTATGAAGAACATTTCTTAACTTTTGCCAATACATATTTGTCTCAGATGAGTGCACTGAAGAATCTTGGGCTTAATGTTGTTAAGGCAAATGTCTATCTTGATTCCTCTGGAAAGCACAACAAGTTTGCCATCACCAAAGCGTAAGCTTACTTCTAGACTGATTATGCTATTCTGTAGTTGCCGGTTAGGTTATTGTGCTTGACTTGAAGTCTTAAACTTTACTGAGAATGGATATTCTGTTTCTCTTTGTTTCAAGTACATGGATTTCATTCAATTGAAGGATGTGTTCCGTCTTAACTAAAATTCTAAGCTGATAGTTGGACTATATTTTTATATTTTATATTATATCATGCTCAATGCATTCCATATGAAGCTTCAATAAATCCATTGAAACTACAAACAACACCAAAAGCACTGTGATTATGGTTAAAAATTAAAAGTTGGAATAATTGGATGAGACTAGTTGATAATATATCTTGTAAATTGACAAAACTGTTTGTTTGCAAATGAATTGTGAACCCAGCATTGTATAGCAACATGATCCCTAATGAACGCTCAGTTTGAACATGGTGAGCATTTAATTGAAATGTGATGAACATTAGAATCCTAACTATTTAGTTATAACCCAATGACCATTTTATTGATCAAAAGACAATTTAAACGTTTGCAAATGTATCAGTAGGCTCACCTGGACAGCGCTTGTCGTACATACAATTTGTGCATGAATTGTATTCGTATATGTGTCTAGTTCTGCAAATTGTCTGGTCACAATCAAGCTGCTAATCAATACAATTAGGCTCTCTAATCCTACAGTTAGTTCATATTCTAAGAATAATTTAAAGAAATCAATCATCATATTGAGGTTTATTTGATTATTTTGCTTCTCTATGTACTCCTCTGTTAGAATAGATTGTATGATACCAATTGAAATATATATATAGACATAAAAGTATTCATATTATTTTTCAGAAGAAACAGAATTACAATAAGAGATATGTTGTAGAACAATATAATAATCTCTATTTGTAACTTTCATCTTCATCTTAATTCTGATGATTCATTCCCTTCCCATGTTTCTAGATCCACAGGTAGAAAAATCAAGGACCCAGAGTTGTTGGAAGCAATTCGCTTGACAATTATTAACAATATGCTCGCATACCATCCAGTAATTAATAAATGCTACTTACCTGCATTCTAGATGTTGATTTAAAGCAAGTCTAGCTCGCTTGGATTTCAATATGATGATTCGTTATTCAGGAATCAAGTTCTCAGTTAGCTATGGGGGAAGCTTTTGGTGTTTCTCCACCAAATCAGAAGGTTTGTAATTGAGATATATATATATATATATATATATATATATATATATATATATATATATATATATATATATATATATATACTGATTCCAGAATTTAGGCATACTATGTACATATGATGATTATCTTACTTTTTATCGTCATCATGAAAATATTCAGATCGATGTAGACATAGCAACTCACATTCACGTCTACAATGATGGTCCTGAACGGAGGTGAGTTCATAGATTTGATTTGTTGTGTAATAAACTAACAATATGCATACTATGTAAGCATGTCTTGAGGTAGTAACAACTGTCTACTTTACCAGTTTACTCTGTGTAGAGACAGCAGACAGGCCTGGATTAATAGTTGATCTTGTAAAGAACATTACTGACATAAACATTGACGTCGAATCAGGGGAGTTTGACACTGAGGTATTGGCTAATTCCAAATAATCAGATTAAATCATCACAGCTGTACACCGTCAGCATGTTTTGCTGTATTGTATTTGCTCCTCAGGGATTGTTGGCTAAAGCAAAATTTCACGTCAGTTACAAGGGCAAAGCTCTTATCAGGCCCCTTCAACAGGTAACCTATTTTCATGCTAGTTCGAATTAAAGCGTTATTAACACTTTTGGTCTCACGAGTTGGCTGGCGTTCCCACTATTGTTTTATGACTATGAAAACTGTCATTAGAGATGCATGTCTTTCAGTTTTGTTTTTTTTTTTTTAAAACCACTTTTGGTTCTTCCGGTGAAATTCTACTGGATTTTAACACATGACTTGTAAGTAACAAAAGTTTATATGCAAAAATGATCATTCACATGACATCTTTTGTAAAAAGTGTGATTTTCCCTATAAACTTTCATCACTCACAAGTCATATGACAAAATTAAGTGGGATTTTACCAGATCTCTCACCTGAATGACCAAAGGTAAGGAAAAAAAAAATGTTGTGCACCTACAATGACAATTCTCATAGTTGTGCACCAACAGTTGAAATGTCACCAAACTTGTTTAGATCAAAAGTGTCAAAAACTCTCGAATTACATATTGTTGATGAGCATTTGATACCCTCCTAGCTTATTGCCATTCTGAAGTGAAGTATGACGTGCAATCTTCTGAAACTTAACCTTGTAGGTTCTTGAAAATAGTTTGCGGTATTTTTTGAGGAGACCAACCACAGAAGATGCTAGTTTTTGATACTATAAGTCGCAGTCTGCAGAAGATAATGACAGAATAAAACCGCCATAGTAAGTCTGCTCGTTGGCTGCTGTTATAGAATGAATGAATGAATGCATGCATGCATGCCTGGAAGCAATTATGTTAATTATTGTAAATTTCTGTTACAAACAAACAATCAATTCCTAGGTATTACAATGTGCACATAATATACACATGAATTCTAGTGCTGTAGTTTGTACAACATCTTCTCATGTTGTTATTGTTCCACATGTTATTGGAAGTTGACCTTTCAACTTCATTGATACCAAGGGAGATGATATACTTTGGTGATACCATTTTCCATTAGAGCAACCTCAATAGTGAGGTTTTTTTGTCAGAAATTTGTTGCCAAGTAGGAAAAAAAGATGAAGGAAAAAAAAAAAAGATAAGAAAGAGATTGTTGCTGTCTAGGCGTCCTCTGGGCGTGTAGTGCATGCCAGCGTGGCTATATATTGTGATTACTTGGCAAAAAAACTCATATTGCTCTAAGGGCATTCACAATGTGGTGGAGAATGGAGATACTATGCCAGAACCACCTGAATCAGCCTCAGAAAGAACATCTTGAATCAACTGCTCGGCCATGGCCATCTGCTCTGGAGTGCCCATTAGTTCATATCAAAGTAGAGTCCTCCAGATGGAGAATCTGATCGAGGTTTCCTTTTTGAGTCCAAGATTGGTTGTATATATGGTTAAACATGGAACGAAAAACAGCAGCAGAATCTCGAATCTCCTCAAAAACTAGTATTTTATTTAAGGAAGAGGGGTTCTATTTACTGCTGGAAGCTTCAGAATGAGATACGGCTCCCGAACCCAAAGGGAAATCTATCAAGTACTTTTCTGGCCTGGGTTCAGCAGGTCCGAATGCACTTAATTGTGGCAGGCTGGCTGTAGAACCTTTTCATCCAATTTCAATTCCCTTTTGAATTTCAATAACAAACCAACTCTCTCTCCGCATAAACACAATTATCGATCGCATGTGTGAGCATTTGGCTTCTGATAATACAAATTACCTGCATTTTGTGGAAATCATCGTACCGCCCAGGATTCGTCGTCGTCGAACCATAATCAATGAGCTGCTGTCGGATGGAATTCACCAGTCGCCACCGCTTGTCTCAGCGCCGAACATGGATTCGCCGGACGGAATTCGTCGGAAGGAAAACGCAGTCACCACCGCTGCGGACAAAATAATTCACGTCTCCCGAGCGAAACCTCAAATTAAATCCAACAGCTTCCATCGGCGCAGCAGTCTTCGACGGTGGCAAATTCCTTCAGTTGTGGCGATGTGATTTCCTGTGCAATTCTAATTTCACTTCGGCAGATTCTATTCGCCACTCGCCGCCCTTCATTCAACGAGAATATAGGAGTACTCGTGCTTGTGTAATTTCACGAATTCTCGTATGAATATACATAATAATACGTTCTAAATTATACCCCAAAGAAGAGAGGAGGGAAGAAGAACAGAGTCCCAGGGAAAAACATTTTCATTAACCTTGCCCTTGCCCTTGCCCGATCCATGATCCTAAAAATCAGGGTAATGAGAATGTTTTTTCCTTGGGTTCTGTTCTCTTGTCATTCTTCATGCAATAGACTAATAGAGTAATTATGGTTTTTTTGGACAATCAATTAACTATTTAAATTATTTTATTTTTAACATTTTAAAAATGTTTTTTAATTGTATTGCATCCATCTAGAATAATAATTGTTTTCGTTTTCCAATGTGTTTTGCTTGACAGTAAATTAACTATTTAAATTGTTTAATTTTCAATAATTTAATTTTTTTTTTTGGTGTAAACAACGAGGTGATTCGGGTGTTTCTCTGTCCATTTAATGGTTCAGGTCCTGGCCCGAAGGAATCGTCACTTGTGATAATCAAACTTCGATTATCGCTCTCCCCATAAATAGAGCTCATTTGCCACTTGAATTATCCTATTGGGTTATTTTAAAATATTTTTTAATTGTATTGCAGCCATCCTATGAATAACACTAGTAATTATTTTCATTTTCCAATTGTAGTTTTATTGTTTAGCTGATATAGATCAGAAATTAACCCAATTCAAATACTACCAAATTTTTTTTTTAAATTTTATTTAAACCAATAGTGCTGGCAAATTAAAGTATACAATTATTTTGTTAAAAAAAAATATCAGAGGTCATCTATTTGATTATCATATATATCTACTATACTAATAAGAGCCAAAGAGAGTTAGGCCTATCTATCTATCTATCTACTATACTAATAAGAGCCAAAGAGAGTTAGGCCTATAATGAATGGCTCAGATTGATCAGATTTTAATTTTTCTTTCAAATTTTCTAATTTATCCTTAATTATATGATTATCCGTTAACTTTCTCATTAAATATTATTTTTTCCGTTAATTTCTGTTAGTTCACCGTTAACTTACTCATTAATTTTAATAAGAAAGGTCTTAGGTTCGAACTCTATCCCAATCGAAGTTAGCATAATTAGTACTTTAATTTATTTTACTCTTATTAAATTAAATAATAATAATTTAGTAGCTACAACAACAAAAAAAAAAATACATATGCATTTCTTTAATTTAGAATTATGTGTCTACAAGGCCTTTATTCAAAAAAATTTATTCATTATCCATAAATTAAATAAAAGAAATAATTTTATTAGTTATATTGTCTTTAATTTTCTCCAATATAAAAATTCTTTACATTCAAATTCATCAATTGATTATATTGGCTACATTGTCCCTACAATATCTTTATTCAAAAAAAATATTATTCGTTATCAATAAATTAATTAAGAGAAATAATTTCATTATTTATATTGTCTTTATTTTTCTCCAATGTAAAAATTCTTTACATTCAAATTCATCAATTGATACCAAGTGGCTTGTGGTCCACTGGTATTTGATTACTCTCTTATGTGGGAGGTCTAGGTTTTGAGCCTCGTTGTAGGCGTAGTTTGTATGGGTATCCCCCTTCCTTTGTAATAAAAAAAAAATTCTTCAATTGATTATATTCACTACATTGTCTATTATCTTTTTTTGTGCACTATTTTTTTAATTAAATATCAACGTTATAATACAAAATAATGTTATATATTTATTTACCAAGTATTTTATTAATACCATGAAAAAATTTAAAAATATATAATTAATAAAGTCAATCATATTAACTACTTAGAGAGATTTGTTGTCAAAGAGAGTATTCAAATCACACAACAAATTGAAGTGGGAAACTAACTCGCAATGTCCTAGTTTGACAATCAGCAGTTAGCGGTTAACGAATTCGACTAGCGAATTATATCAACGATGAGTAAAAAGATATTTGAAAAAATTAGTTGTTTAGATTAACATGTAAAATGACCTAAGGGTATAATAATAATAATCATAATAATAATAATAATAATAATAATAATAATAATAATAATTTTTAAAAAAATACAAATAATAATAATTTAATAAAAGAAATAAAATTTAAAAAATAAAACATATGGAGAGCCAAACGTTCGGCTCCCCCTTAGTTTTGCCACTTTTTTCACATCGGTGGAAAAAGTGGCATGGGTAGGGGTGGGAATAGGTCATGCCCCTTCGTAGGAGCCTAAGGCCCGGCCTATTTAAGGCCTACATAGGCCAGGCTTGAGCCTATTTTGAAGTCTATTAAATTAAACAGGTCAAACCTATTTATACCAAGCTTGGCCTTTAGGCCTACATGCTTAGCCTATTTACACACACACATATAATTTATTTGTAATATTAAGTTAGTATATATTCTATTTTATACCTAATATATTTTTGTATTTACAATATAATTCCAAGTATATATAATTATCAAACCCTAACTCTCCACCTCCAAAATCGCATTCTAAATTCTGATTCAACTATAAACATTGTTGTTAATCCTATTATAAGCGTTCTTATTGTTTAATTGTTCTTACCTGTTAAATATTTAATGAAGTGTCACGACTTAATTATGTGAGTTGATTGTTAACTATTTATGAGATTATATAGGATGGCAATCAATAGTACAATTGAATTCATTCCTAAACAAGTTAACAAGCATGTTGAGGTTAAAAAAAAAAAAAAAAAAAAAACAAGCATGTTGAAGTTGTAATAACTTGTTTTATTTTATTTGATATATGTTTTAATACTATTATGTTTGCATTGTGGAGATATACTTATGTAGTTATATATTAATTTTGTATTAGATAGGTATATTTCTTAAATTATTTAGAAATACTTATTAAAGTTTTAAAAAGACTTAATATATAGATTTTAAATAGACTTAAAGCAGAACTTACTTTGAAGCCTTTTTTTTTTTTTTTTTTTGGGAGATAGGGCGAGGAGATGACCCTAGTGATCAGTTGCTACTTTTTTCACAAAAGATCTAGCACACTCGCAAAATGGCTCTCATCTCCACCTAAGGTGTGTGGAACTCTATCCAATAGCAACGTTTGCTCGGGGTAATCTTAACTAGCCAATCCACCACTTCGTTGAACTCGCGTGGGGTGTAATCAAGCCTCAGCTCCCAATCTTTCGACAGCCAACTTTTGCAAAGTCTGGTAATTTCGCCACATGGACCCAGAGGTTCTGGAGCATCTTTAATCCATTGAATTACATTCAGAGAATCACTAAAAAGATGAACTTTCCTTAAACCAGTTGCCCAGGCCCATTGCATAGCTTTGAGGATGGCAGCAAGCTCTCTTTTCGTTGCATTACTTGTGCGCGACAGACAGCTGAAGTCGCCCAACCAATGGCCTCGATGATCTCGCATGACCCCTCCGCAACCCGTTATTTCTCTCGGACTGGTGAAGGTAGCATCCGTATGGATGAACGTCCAACCATCCTGGTCTCTTCTCATTGTGCTTGGTCTACTGATTTGTACTCCAGTAACTTGTCTTCAAGCAAAGGCTCTTAATCTTTCAATGTCTTGATCTTGGAGCCATTTGATTTTGTCATTCTTCTCCCAGTTTTCATTCCTGAACGCCAGGTTGCAGCGCCACCGCTAGATCCACCAAATGGCTAAGGCAAAGAATCCACTCCAGTAACCTTCCTTGTGATCCTTCATGTGCCCTGAAACATTCATATATAGATAACCAAGAATCAAAGTCCACCTTAAAAAACTTATTACAGGCCCTTTAGGTAAGAATACTTCCCAAATTTCCTCCGCATTTTTAATGGGCTACATATTAAACATGCTTTTAAAAAGGTTTCAGGCTAGGCCAGGCGAATTGTAGGCTCAAGCTTGAGCCTAACAAAAAGCCTACATACCGGCTCAGGCCCAGGCCTAGGCCTTAGATTTTCGTAACAGTCCCGGCCTAATTTTCTAAAACACTGCTCGACTCAGCCTATTTCCACCCCTAGGCATGGGTGCAAATTATGCTATGCAACCGTGTGCACCATGTATGCTGCACACGGTTGCAAAAACGACGTCATTTTGACTAAAAACGCGCGTCCCACTTTAAAAAATAATA